TGAATCTGAGGTCTGGCGCATCACGCAACAACAACAGTATATTTTATGAACTAAGCAAGACAGATTATAGAGACTAGATCATTTTCATTAGCCAATAAGGAGGAAATGGGAAGAACAATGAACGAAGAGATCAGGTCTGTTCTCAGATCAACATTATACTCTATGCTTATATTTTCACAGTGTGGGAAATAATTTTAAGACTTTATTAGAGGACACACATCTCTCATTGCTTTGAATGGAGGAAATAAAGAGAACAGTATACCAAATTTAAGAACTGGAAAATAAGAATAAAAATAAAGGTTAAAGAGGAAATCTCAGTAGGATTAAAATTTTACAGGCACCAATTAAAGATATTGAAAATCATAAGCCTCTGCAAAAAAGATTTCAAATATGGTAGCAAGTATGTCAAATTATTCACTCAGATTAAACAATTAAGCACAAATTGTTAATCCCATCAAAGCCGCCACAAACATTAAGGCGCAGCAAGATGATAATAAATGAGCATGAAATATACCTAATTAACAAATAACAAATTAATAAAGATACTTATTTACAATATTTATAGCTGGACTTTTCCCAGCCAGTGACTCAAAGTTCAATGATCAGTAAAAATCAACAATAAAAAACTGCACACATCTGAAGTCAGAAACACAAAGCCCCACAGCAACACCAATGAATCTGAACCCCACTAAAAGCCCTAACAAACAAAACAACTTTGTATTTCATCCTAACACCCAAATGCAGCGATTAACAAACTTTCTGAAGAGGGATCCACTTTGAAATGTATTGTACTTCTCAGGACCCACTGTAAAAGTAACTCTATGTTATGTTCACCCTTTCCAAGAAAGAGGACAGGATCTCACATCTGTTAACACCGAATGGTGAGAAAAAGCTGACCCAAGGAGTGCAAGTAGTGTGGTATAAATACCTTTTTTCAAAGTATTGGTGAGGATTATTAACTGCTAAGCACTAAAATAAGCCAAGAAGAAGCTGAAATAAAGTCAGAATGCTCATGATGGATGGAAAGTCCAAGAAGGGAGGATTACCCATGGATATATATTACTTTTAGGTTCAGTATTTGAGTCTAGTTGCACCTTACAGACCAACAAGATTTATGGTATCTGACGAGGGGAACTTTGACAAAAAGCTTACTTACTTATGTTTATTAGCTTCTATGACCAAAGGTCTTAAGCTCAATTATAAAAGATGAATATACAACATTAGCCTCATAATACGAACTTTACAATAAAGGTTTATAGTCAAAGTAATCAAATCTAAAAGATCTAAAATGTTAAAACAGAAGTTATTAATAAAACTATAATTCATTTAAATATTCATTTAAATCATAATAACTGGGTGCATACCAAATTCTGTTACAGGTGGGTCAAGCCAGATTTTTGTCGTTTTACAGATAAAACTATTATTAAAAATTTAGTAACAGAATAAATGGTTTCAGGATTAGTATCTGCCAACAGAGGGGGGGACAAAAAGCTTATACTCTGGAAAGCTTGTATTACTTTTAGGGGCGAGCTGCTAAGTATGCTGACCTGGGTAATGTAACACACACACACCCCCATCCCACTCCATGGAAAGCAACTGCTATTGATGCCTAAAGAAGGGAAGGATTTGTCAAGTGAGAAATCATGTTGGCTGATAACCTCCCTTATTCTGGACTACAAAATATCGATGTTTAGCATGGCACACAATTTTACATTGCATTCCAGCCATCGGTGAGGTTGATGAAAGGTAACATAGACTTTGGTATGGCAAAGTATACCCACTTAAATATCAGCTTTTTAGATGCTGAAGAAAGCAGGCTTTTCTTAATTCTATTCGGGGGTGGGGGGGGTGGGGATAGATACCAGTATGGCATTTTGTTTCTGGGTTATTATGCATTATAAGGATGCAAAACATTAAATACACTGAAAATTAATGACGTGTCTGAAAAGAGGAATCAGTGATGTCTGCTGCCCTTGATACTCTTTATAATATTTATGAACAGCATTGTGAATGCAGTATGTCATGAGAAAGATGTAAAAGCTATTCAATCTGGGCTCAAAAATGACAGATTATGCTATACATGAGTGGTGGTGCATTAAATGTAGCTGATCCTATGACTTATTTAAGGGACATAAAACAGGAAAACCAGTACATAGAAGGACAGCAAAACTAACACAAGAGTTCTATTTAAACAACAAAAGATATCAAGAACTAATAAAAGCACTCTGATTAAAAGTAACGCAGAAGTGATATTTCCAGGTATTTTATTATTTTGTTTTATTTATTGATTTGATTTGTACCCCGCCCTCCCTGCCAGGGCAGGCTCAGGATGGCTTACATAAAAATTGCAACAAATAAAAGCAACAATTTAAATATCAGTATAAAACACAGCATAATTACTAAAAGTAACGTATGGCGGTGGCGGTGCAGTAGTAGCAGCAGACATAATAAAAAAATACAGTCAGCAATTGGTTTTTCTATTGGTGAGCTTAGGCTGGAGGTGGTATTGGGCACAAGGTCTTAGGTTGTTAGGTGCAGCTCCTTACCTGAAGGCCTTGTGGAAGAGCTGTTTTACAGGCCCTGCGGAACTGTAAAAGGTCCTTCAGAGCCCTGATCTCTTCCGGGAGCTCATTCCACCAGGTTGGAGCCACCACTGAAAAGGCCCTGGTCGATGCCAGCCTGGCATCCTTGGGGCCCAGAAGGGCCAAACGATTTTGAGACCCTGACCATAGTGCTCTCTGGGGAACATGTGGGGAAAGGTGGTCCCTCAGGTAGGTAGGTAGGTCCCTGACCATAAAGGGCTTTAAAGGTAAGCACCAGCACCTTGATGCGAATTCGGTTTGCTATAGATAGCCAGTGCAGCACTTTTAGCACAGGCTGGATGTGTTCTCGCATGGGGAGACCCAGCAACAGCCTGGCCGCTGCATTCTGCACCAGCTGAAGCTTCCGGATTTGGATCCAGGGCTGCCCCACACAGAGGGCATTACAGTAGTCTGGTCTCGAGTTGACCATAGCATGGGTCACTGTCACCAAGGAAGGGAACTTCCCAACTGCTTGATCAGCTGAAGATGATAAAAGGCTGACTTAGCAGTGGCTGCTACCTGGGCCTCCATCATTAGAGAGGCATCCAGGAGCACTCCCAAACGCCTAACCTCCGACGTTGGCACCAACGGTGCCAGGTTGAAGGACGGGAGTGGGATCCCTAATCCCGGGCCACTCCGACTCAGGCACAGAACCTCCGTTTTCGTCGGATTCAGTTTCAGTCCACTCAGCCTAAGCCAGCCAGCCACGGCCTGCAACACCAGGTCCAGATCTCCCAAGCTAAAGTTGGACTGGCTGCCCAACAGCAGATAGAGCTGAGTGTCATCCGCATACTAGTGACAACCCAGCCCGTGTCTCCGGGAAATCTGGGCAAGGGGGTGCATATGATGTTAAATAGCATTGGGGAGTGTACCACCCCTCTGGTGGGTGGGTGCCCTCAGGACAGCTGTTCCCCTAATGCTACCCTTTGTCCCCTACCCTGGAGGAATTAGGAGAGCCACTGCAAGGCAGACCCCTGGATCTGTTCACATTGGGTTGGATTTTCCACTGGTGGAAGATCCTTCCAACAGTCCAACAGAACTTTCATGCCTTCTTTCCACCATAATGCAGCTCACTGATCTCCCCAAAATGCCACTTCTGGTATGAGAGGGAAATCTTGGGATTGGCAGCAGGAAGTGGAAGTTGGTGGAAATGACAGCAGCAGCAGCAGCAGCAGAATTGGTTTTATATCCTGCTCTTCACTACCCAAAGGAGTCTCAGAGCTGCTTATAGTCACCTTCCCTTCCTCTCCCCACAACAGACACCCTGTGAGGTAGATGGGGCTGACTGAGAGCTCTGACTGAGAACTGTGACTGACCTGAGGTCACCCAGCTGGCTTCATGTGGAGGAGTGGGGACTACCTCCGCTCTTAACCACTACACCAAACTGGCTCTAGTTCCAACCCACTGCTGTGCAGCAAGATGACAGAGGAAGTCTCTTTTCTTAGTGCATGAGTGGGACGGAATTGGGATCCCTTTGAAGAATTTTGCTCCAGGGGATGCAAGAAAGACAGGAAGGAAAATCAGCATCATGAGAAAAGGCAAACATTTCAATTTGAAAAATATTTTTACATAGGGATTCGACACAGTGGCCTCTAAATTTCAGTGCCCTTCAGTTTTCCTAAAAGGGTTGACGATTTCTGCCAATATGCACCCTCCCACTGCAGCTGAATGAGCCTTCCAAATTTTGCTCCTGGGGAAGTCACTCAGTGGGGCTTCACAAACAGCCTACTGGGAGTCTACAAGTGCTCTGCAATCTTTGCAATGTGGTTGGCTATATTATATAATATATAATATAAACAAAATGCATGCCCACCAAGATGAGAGACTAGATTTGAAAAATAATAATAATAATGAATACTAACAAAAAAGTATCATAACAGTTGGGAAGTATAAAACGGGATAACTTTCACATAAAATGTGAAGCAAAGAAGGAACAGAGACACAATTTCTTCATGTAACACTTAATTAACTGGTGCCATGAGGCACTTTCACTAGTTAGATGGCTAAGAGGGGAACAGAAAAGATTCATGGAAGAAAGGTCCTTTCAGTGATTCTTAGCCATGATGGCTATACAGAACCTCCATGTTCAGAGGTAGTGTACCTGTAAAACGCCAGTTACTGAGGAGTAACAGTAGTTGGCATTTTTGTTCCCAGTTCTCTGCCTGTAGGCTTCTGAAGCTGGCCACTGTTGGGATATGATACTGTTCTGGTCCAGTCTACTATGGCCATTCCTACATTCTTTAAACATGGGAATGACAGAGAAAGGCAAATAGAGAACCCAGAAGGCATGATGGCCCTTCCCCACTCCATCTCACCCCTCCTGGGCCTTCTCCTGTTCCTCAGCTTCCCCCAAAGGACAGGAGCCTTGCGCCACAGGAGGTGAGACTCAGCTTCCACCCCACCCAAGGAAGAGCTTACACTTTCGTCTCTTCATCCAGGACTCCCGTCACAGCGATGCCGTAGAAGCTCTGCATCTCAGACACAGCGGAGGAGAGGATCTGAGCTGAGCGCAGAGTGGACATCTGGCGGGTAGACGGCGGGAGGTAGCCGTAAGACTGAAGCCAGGCCTGCAAGGAAGCATTTGGATGGTAAGGCAAAGCAGAAGAATAAGTCTGATATCCACTACTACACCAAACAGCAAGAGCATGCAGGACAATGCCAAATGGCTATAAATGTTAAATTTTCTGCTGTGCATTTTGGGTCACAGGAACTGTTTCCCAAGAAAGCTTGAAAGTTGCCAGGAAAGACCGGGGTGGGAGTAAACCCAGGAGCGGATTGGGAAGTAACGGTCCTGGGGCTGGCCAAACTGAGTGGCCCCGGCAGCACTACAAAGCCAGTGTGAACTTCAGGGGTCACTCAGTTCAGTGGGGCAAACAACGGGTATTAATTCACTGACCACTTCCTCCTGAAAACTAGTAACATGGCAGGACACTAGTCCCCACTGCCAAGGAAGTGTCTGAGTTATGTGCCCGAGTGCCAGAGTCAGTGCTTGGCTATGCTTGGTCTTGGCCACTAGCAGCCCTCCATGGCAGTGGCGCACTAGGAAACTTCCCTGTGATTTAAATGGTCAGTAGGTCCCTGGGGAAACCCCATGCTGAGCACAGGCACGGAGAAGCGGAATATGCCCTAATGGCACGCATAGATTTCCCAGGGGCAGCATGATCTAACGGTTCACTCCAACAACACAATGCTCCCCTTCAGGAGCCTGAACTGTGAACTGGGTGCGCCGCCAAGCCGCACTCAAATGGGACAAGCCTCTGCCAATAGGCAACTCCAAGTGTTGACGAGGGTAATTTTAGATCGCAGGCTGGAAACAAGTGCTTTCCCAAGGGCTAAAGAATTACTTCCTGAGACGTATTCAGTTCCACTGCCATTTCTGGCCCAACAGGCTCTGCAGGAAAACCCCATGCAAAGAGGCCTGTGCCTTGCCCCTCTGCTTTGCAGTCTACCAGGTGTGTGCGGAAAGATACCGCCACTGATTTCTTAAACTCAGTTCTCAGGCTCAAGAACTGAGCTGGGAGCTGCAGAGCTAACCGCCTGCTTAGCCTTCCGAAAGGTCTTCGAGACACACGTGTCACACAGAGAAGGGATGCCGAAGACGCTACTGGTGCACCTGCCGCAGCCCAGCCCACAGCCCCCACGCCCTCCCTCCCTCCCCAACCATCAGCGCCTGGTGTGCTGGAAGCGTCAGCCGGACCCCTGGCAGCAGCCCTGGACACACACACACACACACACACACACACACACCCCAGCGGTGCTACTTCCTCTGAGCATCCAGGTTGAGCTGGGGAGGCGCTCTGCCTTCCCTTCCCGGCTCAGTCCGGCGGCCTCTTCTAGACTTTCTCCTTGCTCCTTCCTGGCACCCAACCGAGGACACCGCGAGGGAAGCGAGATCCGGCTCCGCTGGAAGCCATACAGGGAAAAGGAAAATCCCCTTCCCCGGTCTGTCTATTTCCCCGCCACCCGAATCAGCCACAAGCCCGGGGTGGGGGGAGCAGGTCCAGAGCGGCTCTCTGCTATCTCCCCGCGGACTTTACATGGTTGGGTGTTGCCGTTGGAAGAGGCGCGCGGCAATGTTTGCTTTGCCTCGGTGCGTAGCCGCCACCTGCCACCTGCCAGCCCGCCTCCCCGGGCAAAGGGCGCAGCCTCTCCCCTCGGCAGTCCGGGACCCTCCCGCCGCCGCGTTTGCCTTCCACCCCCGAAACAGCGGGAATCGGCGCGCTCCGCTGCTGCGCCTCCTAGCCAAGCGCACGAGTTGGAGGGCGAAGCAGCCGCCCCCCGCCCGGGGCCTCTGAGGACAGACCGGCGAGCATGGAGTGTGTCCTCCCGCCGCATGCAAAACCTGGCCGGTGGAAACCTGCAGCGTGCAGCCGGGGGGTCCACTTCGCCCGGGGCTGGCCCCTCCGAGGCCCGCGGCACAGCCAGAGCCAGCAGCGGCAAGAGCGACGGCAACGCCCAGCCCCAGCCGCCTCTGCCCCGCCGGTCCATCGCCGCCCCCCCGTCGACTCGCGCCCGGCCCAGCTGCCTCGTTCTCTACGCGCCGCCGGCCCCCTCCAGACGCCGCCGCCGCAGCAGCAGCACGGCCATGGTCCGGAGGCGGAGTGGCTGCGGCGACCGCCTTTGTCTGGCGGGTCCGGGCTCCGAACTCAGCTCTGCGACCGCCCCAGCTGGCCAGCCCCGGCAAGGCTCCGCCCCGCCGGGTCCTTCTGGGCAGCTTCACGGAGCGGCCAACGGCGCAGCTTGCTGGCCACGGCGCGCATTGCCTGGCGGCGGCGAGAAACACCTTCTGGCAGGACTGCTTCCCGCGCGCGCGCGCTAAAGAGCGCCACGTGTTGGGAGGGGGGCCCCAGAGCCCCACAGCAGGGGGCGGGAGCCCGAAGCCACAAGGGGGCAATATTTCATAGCTCCTCCGCGCCTCTAGCAGTCGCCTGTCCCGTTCGTCCTTCCTTCTACCCAACCTGAGGCCAGCCTGCCAACCTCCAAGTGGTGTCTGTGGATCTCGCAGAATCAGAACAGATCTCCAGAGAGAACAGTTCCTCTGACGAAAATGACTGCTATTGGCTGGGGGGGGGGTGTGTAATCTAGGATCACCAGCTCCAAGTTGGGAAGTACCAGGCTGGAGAATTTGGGAGTGGAGCCTGAGGAGGGTGGGGTTTGGGGAGGGACTTCAATGGGGTATAAGGCCACATAGACTCCACCTTGTAAAGTGGCCATTTTCTCCAGGTGAACAGGTCTTTGTCGCTTAGAGATCAGCTGTAATAGCAGGAGGTCTCCAGCCACCATCTGGAGGCTCTAACAAACCCTCCCCCAAACCCAGCTCCTGTCCTGAATCTCCAGAAATTGTGCTGTATCCAATCTAGCTGGTCATCTGGGGCTTGGAAGGGGGGGGCACCTGCCTAACAGCTTCCCCCCCCATGTGATAAAGCACACAGCTGGGCTTCATAAAGGCCAGGGAGGAGATGGGAGAACAAACTCAACCAGCTGAACAGAAAGGGGATATCAGCTCTGCTCTGCTGCTTGAAGCTCTGGGCCCTTCCACAGGGCCACAGCTCTTCAGCTCCTTGCTGGCTGGGGCAGATGACGGCCACACCCTGACACAGCATCCTGCTACTTGCTCCTGCATTAGTGTACAGTGGAATGTGCCGATTCTGTTCCTGCCCTTTTAAAAATTGCAGACGGGGTAACTTCCGGTCCAGCCAACAGCATTTGCACTTCTCCATGGGTAGGACTCACCCCCCCCCCGTTTTCCCACCACAGTGCTTCCTCAGCAAGGCACCTCCTATTGAGTCTTCCTTTCCCCACCCTTGCACAACAAAAACAAAAAACCCTTCCTCTTGCGACAACACAATTCCCCTAAGAGGGCTTTGAACCTTGGCTGGGCTAAGCCACCGGCTCTTCAGGCCTCTTCCTTTTCAACTGAGCTGGGAAGCCAGCGGGGTGACACGCTAGGACGGCCCTGCTTGACTTCCTTCCTGGTGCATTTTCCTGCCGAAAGGTAATAACTGTTTATAAGCTGTGCAGAGAAGGAGATTCAAGCCTCCATTCACAGGGAATCCTGGAGTGGCTTTCTCACGGGCTCTTGCAGTACAGGCCTTCATGGTGGTCCATGTGTGCAGTGTCTTTGTCTTCTGGGGTTGCACCCCCTCTTTGCAGAGGACAGGATACCGATCAGTTGCTCTCTGCCGGCTGGCCAACACCAGGGCACCTTCAGCTCCCGGCGGGTATCGGTACTGCTCTCCGTTCTGTTATTTGGGAGAAACTGTGGCTCAGTGATAGAGCATCTACTTTGCACACATAAAGGTCCCAGGTTCAATCCCTGGCGTATCCAGGTGAAATTCCAGGAAGCTGTTAAAGTGACAAGGACACCTGAGAGCCTGGAGAGCCGCTGCCAGTCTGAGTAGACAATACTGATCCTGATGGATCAATGGTCTGATTCAGTAAAAGGCAACTTCATGTGTGGACATGCGTGTATTTCAAGGGGTCCTCCCGGATCTTTGCTGCTTTCGTACAGGACTCCCAAACACACTATGCTGAAGTTTACACCACTGAAAGCAGCCCAATGTTTGGAGAGGTTACAGAAATGGCATTATTTATTCCGAACACACTTAAAATTAAAACATACAAGGGATGTTGGCTGGCCGTTGTTCGGAGGGCTACATCTCTCACTCCCGTAGCCAAGTCGGGTCTCTTTGCAAGCAATATCGCCACCCCACCTATTTCTGCTCTCTGGAGCCCAATTGCAAAACAGCATTTGGCAGCTACTGCCCCATTCTGCGCACAGGAGGAAACACATTGCTCAAAGCCCTGGAGAACAGGGTTAGGACAGGGTTAACTGTTGGATGTTTGAATCCGGGCACAAACGTCTTTGCCAGGGGTGGCCAAACTGCAGCTCGGGATCCACATGCAGCTCTCTCACACATATTGTGCGGCTCCCAGCAGAGCGGCTGGGGAAGTGAAGCGGAGGCATGCCTCCCTGATTGGCTTTCCCTTCCCCAGCCAGTGTTCCCCTCCCTGGGTAGGCTTGGGGGGGGAGCAGAGAAAGAAAGCAACTTTAACTTTAAATGCATTCTCAAATGCATTCTCTCTCTCTCAGACAAAAAAAATGTCATTAAAAAACGAATAAACATTATTGGACAAACAAATATCATTATCAGCATCTGTTTTTACCCCTTTTGTTTTTATTTTTGGCAGTCTCATTTAATGTTAATAAAAAAGCAAACCTGTATATATTTCAATAAAACCCTGTGCGTAATATTTGTTCATGTCTTGCAGCTCTGGTGCTTATTCTATGTAGCTCTTATATTCAGCAAGTTTGGCCACACCTGGTCTTCGCTGAAACAGCAGAATTCAGGACTGCTCCCCAGATAAACAGCTTGAGAGTTCCCAGGCACTCCTGTGAGTGAGTGAGTGAGAGAGAGAAAAAGAGAGACTCAAGCAAGGAATGTGCCCCATGTGCACAGAGTGCTCCTGACAGACAGCATACAGGCTGATCCATTATGAGCAAAAACTCTTCTTGTTCTCTCTCTCTCACACAATGGATCAGCCTGCATGCTGTCTGTCAGGAGCACTCTGTGCACATGGGGCACATTCTTTGCTTGAGCCTTTTTTCCCTAGGGGTCCCCTTCTGCAAGGACCAGCTCCTGCAGGCTGATCCATTATGAGCAAAAATTCCTCCACCGCCCCAAGCTCCACAACCTGCAGTGACAAAGCTCCTCCTCATTAACTACCTTCAAGCAAGCCAGTGCCACACAAACCAAGCTCTCCCCAGGGGTTTCCAAAAAAGTACCAAACTGTGTCACCAAGCAAACTCTGACCCTCGAGAAATCTGAGCTGTGGGCCCCGGGACCCTTCCAGGACACACTCCCCAAGCTCGGTAAAATTGCAGCCTGTTATCCCAGATTAGGTTTGCATGTTTGGCTCACTGGCTGGTTTGGGAGTCACAGTGATGCTACAGGAGTGTGGATGGGAGACGCACTCCAGTCACTCTGCACAAGTTAAAAAAGGAGGGGGGGGGGAGATGACACACTGTAATTACAGGGAAAAGCATCTACAGCAACTGGACTCTGCTTTTGGGTTTAAAATGGGTTCTTTCCCTCTGCTTCTTATCCTGCATTAAGAAGCGAGGCATTCTGAACACAAGATGTGTACGTTATCACTTTGGGATAAAGCAAATCTCCCCTGCAAAGCGAGTATACGGAACCAGCCTCACGTTCTCCCTTTAGCACAGTTAAATAAACCAATTTTGGATGAAAGGATGCCTAAGAAAGGGACAGAGGGCTAGCGAAGAACAAGATTGCCGTAACATTTTGCAGACTGCCCTGGCCTGGATAGCCCAGGCAAGCCCGATCTCGGAAGCTAAGCAGGGTCGACCCCAGCAAGTACTTGGAATGGGAGACCTCCAAGGAATACCAGGGCTGTGACGCAGAGGCCTCCAAGCCCCACTAGGGATCGCCAGAAGTCAGCCATGACTTACAGGCACACACACACACAGATATAGACACACACAATACAAAAAAAAATTCATCAGGTCGGGGTTGGAAAACACCTGGAGATTTTGGGGGTGGATCCAGGAGAGGGCGGGGTTTGGGGAGGGGCTTCAGCATGGTACAATGCCATTGAGTCCACCCTTCAAAGCAGCCTTTTACTCCAGGGGAACTGAACTCTTTTTTTTTTTGTTAACAAAATTTTTATTTTCATTCATTGAGAATTCATATAGCTTAATAGTTTCCATTACATTTCATTCACCCTATTCCCAATACCTCCACCCCTCCTCGGCTTCCCACAATGCTTTCCCCTTTTTATCTCTTTTTTCAGTATGACGTTAAATATTCTCATTTTTCTTAACATTTAAATCTTTAGATAACAATCAGTTGGTTTAATATTGTTCTAAGTACAATATACTTTGCTTCACATCCCAATTCTTTTCCAGATATGTTTTAAAGTCCTTCCATTCTTCCAAAAACTCTTCATCTTCTCTGTTGTTTAATTTTCTTGTAATTTTATCCATCTCTGCCATGAACAGAACTTTTTGTATCCAGTCCTCTATCTCTGGCACTTTGTCTATTTTCCAATATTGTGCATAAATCATTCTTGCTGTTGTTATTAAGTACCAGAGTAGAGTCTTTTTTGTTACATTAACTTCTTCCATTTTTAGTCCCAAAAGCAGAATTTCTGGTGTCTTTTTGAAAGAGCATTTTAATATTTTTTGTATTTCATTATGGATTTTTGTCCAAAAATCCACCGCCTTTTCGCATGTCCACCACATATGGTAAAATGAGCCCTCATGTTTTTTACATTTCCAACATTTACTAGACAAATTCTGGTTCATATTTGCTATTTTTTTTGGCGTCATGTACCATCTATACATCATTTTATAACAGTTCTCTCTAACATTGGTACAGGTCGAAATCTTAATCGAATTTTTCCACAAATACTCCCATACATCAATAGTCACTTCTTTGTTCATATTAATTGCCCATTTTATCATTTGTTCTTTAACCATCTCATCTTCAGTATACCATTTTAACAATATTTTATACATATTTGAAATCTTTTTCTTCCCTCCACTCTCCCATATACTCTCTATTTCATTTTTTTCTTCCCTAAAACCATAATTTTTTTTATCCAATTTAAAAACATCATAAATCTGCATATATTTCAACCATTCATATTTATAGTCAATTTCATTCTGCTTTTTCATTGTCCATTCTGTTCCCTCTTTTTTAATTAAGTCTCTGTATGGCAACCATTCTTTGCCTTGCTGTCTTGAGTAAGGTGTTAAAACTTCTGCTGGTACAATCCACATCGGTCTTACCTCACGAAAATATTTTTTATACCTCGTCCATGTCGCAAATAATGCTTTTCTTACCAAGTGATGTCCAAAAAAACCATCCATCTTTGTCTTATCATACCATAAATAAGCATGCCATCCAAACCTGCAATCATGTCCC